AAATAAGCCTTTTACCTTTCTTTTTATCAACACATCATAAGATTCCAAATTACGCCAAACTCTACTACGTTCTGTAGGAATGGGTGATTCTCGATCGATTATGCTTCTCCCCATCTCTTGAAGCAATCTATGCATCATTAGTTTTTTCTTTGGTGTAACATAAACAAGACATCTCTTTGTTAGGGTTTTGATCCTAGAAACAACAGAGTAATCAGGCTCCAATATCTTCATCACATAGTCGATGTATGTGCCAACAAAGAAACAAGCAATATGCAGAAACAACTCTCTGTCTAAGTTATATGGTAACGAATCAAAGCTTCTTTTAAGTATATGATAAATATCATGATGAATATCTTTTACTCAACTTTGTGAATAGATCTTGTTACGTTGTTTAATTACATGATTCTATTAATTTACCATAACAACATTTATAAGATGCTATGGTTTTACAAGCTTAAATCCTATTAAATACTTTATTAGATCGCCTAGACGTCCTAGAAAACTTATTTTGTTGAAGTGAACAATGAAGCATTTGAATGTAAACTTTCTGAATTAATAAAATTATCGATACTATATTTAGCAACCTCTGTAAGAGCTGTCTTCCATCGATTTACGTTATGATCTGTCCAGCTTGTAGAGGCTTTCACTTCTATGTTGAAAGTTCTATTTTTCTTTCTAACATCTGAGGGATTGACATGATAAAAAAATAGGTAGAACAAAATGATTGCATTCTCTCCTTTGCTCAAGGATCAAACAAAGCTCATCAAGGCACCATGTCGACGTTGCATAGTTCTCCGACAGTACAATTATTGATGCCTTGGATGCTTCTATTGCCCTCTTGATTTCCGGCTTCAGTTCTTCACCTCTGTTGATTTCATCATCATCTCTAAAAGTACGAATTCCTGCATACACTAACTTCTCGTAAAGATGATCCGTGAATGAATCACGAGTATCTATACCTCTAAAGCTTAGAAAGACGTCATAGCTACTACAATTAACCCTTGGAGAAACCATGTTAGTAGTGGAAGAAGAGGAAGCCATTGAAATTGATAAGAAGTAAAGTAAGTCTTGAGAAAATGAAATATGAAGTAGTAAATATGACTGTATGAGATGGATATGAAGGGGTCTAAAGGCTTGGTAGTAGTATCAACACTAATCACATAAATGTGGTCATTATCTTTTGTCATTCAATCGAGTTTTATATTTAGGATCACAGAATGTTTTCCAACTGGTTGATTAATTTGTATGATCATCGAGGGGTTTTTTTTACCAATAGATTTTGTTAGACACTTAGGGTTAATTGTGTATACACATGTATATTAATTAATTATATAGTAGGAAAAGTAAAAACTTTTATGGATCGAAAAACTTAAATTTTATTAATGAGCTTGGTCTTTTAAATAGGAGTAACAATCATAATTACAATCAAATAAGGAAACAATCCTAATCAAATAAGGAAAAAACTCTCAAAGAAGATAAAGGTCAAGAAACATAAAAATAGGAGAAATAAAAGGTAAGTAAGATAAAGGATAAGGAAAGGATAATAATAAAATCCTTTACTCCCCCCTCAAGTTGGAGCATGTAAGTCTCGAATGCCCAACTTGTCAAGTAGCTTGCGTAATTGATCTGCGCCCAATGCCTTAGTGAAGATGTCAGCCTGATATGTGTTGAGAATTTAACACATAACGCGCTCTTTTTAGGACTTTTTAGTTACGTTAATTTCTTTTCATTCCCAAATTGAGTCATTTTCATTTATTTCTTTATACTTTTGTTATTATGAAGCTAAATGTTGTGGTTGACTTGATGGCATGAATAAATTGAAGCTAATTTGGAGTTTTTGTGAAAACAGCAGGTGCTGCAGCATTGGTACAGCATTGACCTGGGTCTTGCACTATTTTTTGGAGGGCATAATAGACAATGTGCTGACTTTTTGAAGATGGAAAACAGCTGTAAATGGGCTGTATTTTTGGAAGAAATCTGATTTCTTCTCTTTAGTTAGTCTTTGTACTTCTTAGTTAAGCTTTAACTAGGTATTGTACTTCTTAGTTGAACYTTATTTATGATGTAACTAGTTTGAAGTTGTCTTAGCCTCTAAGCTTTGGTATTTTGTCTTTTTGTACCCATTTTGGGTATAAATAGGAAGCTTAGGCTACTTGGTAAAACACACTTGAATTGATAAATCCATTGGATTCTCTCTAATCTCCTCCCATTTCCTCCCAACTTTTCTTTCTTTTCTTTTCTTTTCAACCTTCTTCAAGTTCTTCCAAGTTCATCTTCATCTTTTTATTTATTTAATTTATTGTCTTTTATTTTCCGCTATTTACTTTCTCGTCTTTACATTTCCGTCATTTACATTACGTTATTTACATTTCTGTCATTTACATTACGTTATTTACATTCCGTCATTTATTTTACGCTATTTATATTCTCGTCATTTACATTCCGTCATTTATTTTACGCTATTTATATTCTCGTCATTTACATTCTCGTCATTTACTTTACTGTCATTTACATTTCCGCATTTATTTTTATGTCTTTATTTTACGTCATTTATTTTTTACTTTCCGTCATGAGTAGCTAAGCTTTTATAGCTTGGGTGTGAGACGGAAAGGTGAGATTTTTAAACTAAACAAAAGTAGCTAAGTGTTTCGTAAACGACGTTCCATTGTTTCATTCGAGTTTTTATAAAACCAAGCACACTTCTTGACGGGTTGATCACTTGAAAGTGTTAAAGTGCGATGGACTTAGAGATAAG